CCCGATGGATATCCAGTTGTTCCAGAATGATTTGTTAAAAAAACTTCTTTCTCCATTGAGTTGCCTTGGTGTCTTTGTTATATTTGGGGAGGGAGGTGGGGTGGATGGACTTTCCACTCTATTCTGTTCAACTATTTTCCTTTACTTAGGCGAACAACAGATTGTCTTAATTACCTTAGGTTGAAGTCAGGAAATAAAAATCTCCAATTTTGCTCTTGTTTTTCAAGATTATTTAGGCTTTGTGTATCCTCTGTATTTCTATGTACATTTTAGAATTATCTTGCTAAGAAAACGTGCTGGTATTTTGACTGGAATTGCATTGAATATAAAGTTCAATTTGTGGAGAACTGCATATTTAACAGTATTAAATCTGTATGCTAACAAAAAAGCCTTTGACGAAAATATTTCTTTTAATATTTGTCAATGCACTATGGTTGAACATGAATGAGATTTTCATTATTTAACTTCAACATGTGATGTCTTTAATTTACAATGTGTGCTTCATGAAACCAATATCTAAACTTTGGTAAATATTATATTTCTGAATTCTATTCTGGTTTTCCTAGTTTTTGAAAGAAGTGCCACAACCTCCCATTGCTGACCTTTTCCAAATAAAATTATTTTTAGGAGCTCTTGAAACAACATGAAAAGGACATCTTGCAATTAGAGGAGCTTAAAAAGACCAAAGAGGTGAGCTTTCTCATTTTTCACTGTGGAATTAGCATCTTACAAATACATCAGTAAAATTATATATACTCAGTAAAATGGAATCAATGATAATTTTCCCCAAACTGGTGAAAAGTAGAAGACCTAAGCTGAGTTTGCTGGAATCAATAAGTCAAAAAGGATTTTAGAACTATTTGTAAAACAAAGCCATTAGTGCCTTTTTAGAGCATGATTTGAACAAATATATGAGCAATATATTGGGTGATCTTCAATGTCAAATGTCTATTTCTAGTAAGGTTCAAACCACAAAAGGGTCTTGAATAGTAAAATGCCAGATTCTTTTCTTTTACCTCTGAAAAGAACTCTAACTCCAAAGCTCTCCTTAAAACCTTGAGTGTACCTTACCTACACAGCTTCCTCAAGGAACACTCTCCTGAGATTTCCATGTGGGAGATACCTGAAGGGAAACTGTTTAAATCCACAAAGTGCCTTGTGGTTCTTCTTTCACTGAGAATTTAATTTGGATCCAGAACAGACATGTTTGGGAAATGATTAGCCATTATAAAAGCATGGAATGATTCCTTAGAGTCCAGATGGGGCTTCAGTATTGTTGGGCAAACAGGCTGCAATGTCCTACAAAGTAAAGGAATGGGCTTTGGAGCAAGGCAAACGTAGTGTATTCTTCCCTCCCTTTGTATTGAATTTATTGGGGTGATCCTGGCTAACAAAATTACACAGGTTTCAGGTGCACAATTCCACAGCACATCATCTGCACACTGTATTATGTGTTCACCACCCCAAGTCAAGTTTCCACCTATCACCGTTTATCCCCCCTGTGCCCTCCTCTACTTCCCCACACCCTCTCCCACCCTCACCCCACCCCTGGCCATCACCACAGTGTGTTCTTATAACTGCTTTACTGAGCTTGTCTACTGTTTTGACCATTTGGGTCATTTCTGGGTCTATTGCTATTAATTGATTTTGCTCCTCATTTATGGTCATATTTTTTGCTTCTTGGCATGCCTGTTAGTTTTTCATCGGGTGATGAATATTTTTGTATTCCTTTAAATGTCATTGAGCTTTGTTCTGGGATTCAGTTAAGTTACTTGGAAACAGTCTGAGCTTTTCAAGATTTGCTTTTAATCTTTGTTAGACAGAATTACAACTGTGTTTAGGTTAGTTTTTCCCCACTACTGAGATGATACCTTCTGAGTAGTCTACCCAATACTGTGTGTATTCAGAAGGGTTTTTCTACCCTGGCTGGTGGGACTCTGAACTACTCCCAGTCTTGTGTTGGTTCTGGGTATTGTTCTGCCTACTCCATGCTGGTGGTTCTTTCCCCCAAGCTGACCTCCCTTGGTTTTTTTCCCTCCATTGTGCCACACCAGTGGCACTGACACTGTTTCTTTAACAGGCCGGGGTGCGCCCACTTTGGAGTCTTTGCACTGGACTTGCTCTCTTCCTGGAACGTTCTTAGCCAGATGTCCACGTAGCTCACTTCCTTACTTCCTTCCAGTCTTCACTCAAATGCCACCTCCTCAGGGGCCACTCAACAACCTGCCTGACTCTCCCTCCTCCCTGTTTTATTTTTCTACACAGACTTATAACCATCTAACCTGACAAACTCAATGAAGGCAGGGCTTTTTGTTTGTTTCCTTTACCACTAATCCCCACTGGCACATCATAGATATTCAGTAAATAGTTACTGATTTTTTTTTGAATGAATAAATAAATGGAAAAATGCAAAATGACCTGTTTTGCACAATGCAGTTGCAGTAAATGATGGTACCCGTTGAGTTTATGCATAGTGGGAGGTTGTTCATTACATGGGAAGAGCTGTGAGGATGGGAAGAGTTCGATGAGGCTGACACCTGAAAGCAGATCCCCATTTGGCTCATTTTCACAGTCTCTTCACCATCTCCCTAAAGTAGACCCCATGCTTATCTTATCCCTCCCCATCACTTACACTGTGTCCTACACCTGCATCCTCCATTTGTTTTTAATTTACTATTGTAATTATTTTGTTTACTTTTATTTAATTTTTTTATATTTTCCTCACTAGAGTGTGTCCCCATAAGAGTAGAAATTATATTTGTCTTGTTCATCATAATAGTCTAGGGCCTAATACAGTAGTAGGGTTTTTGTTTCTAATTAACAGACTATTTTTTTAGAGCAGTGTTAAGCTTACAGAAAAATTAAGCAGGAAGTACAGAGATTTCCCATACACTACCCACCCTGACACAACTTCCTCTATTATTATCACGCATTGGTTTGGTACATTGTTACAGCTGATAAACTAATATTAATACATGATTTTTAACTAAGGGTCATAGTTTAGGGTTCATTCTTTGTGTTGTATATTCTATAGGTTTTGTCAAATGCATCATGCTATATATTCACCATTGCAGTACCATACAGAATAGTTTCTCTAACCAAAAAGTCTTCTGTTCTCCACCTATGCATCCCTCACTTCTGCTCCCAAACCCTAGCAACCACTGATCTTTTTACTATCTCCATAGTTTTGCCTTTTCCAAAATGTCATATAGTTGGGATCCATAGTAGATATTTAATAAATACTTGTTTAATGAATGAATAATTGGTAGCTGTTGTGACAACCCATGTGAGCTCTGGTGAGGGCTGGCTCTGAGGCAGTGACAGCGAGGTTGTAGGGGAGAGGGTATAGATGGCTGAGACAGAGGAGGCAGGATTAGCAGGGCATAGCAACCGAATGGTGCAGGAGAAGGTGTAGAGTTGATGCTTCACATTCTAGCCCAGGTACCCGGAGAAGAGAATAAATGGGTAGATACCATCATGATGTCCCGAAACAATTTCTTCTTACTTAGATCATAGAAGAAGAGTTGCATGCACAAGCTATTATCCTAGAATCACTTAACACAACCCTCTACCAAACCCAGATGGAACTCCAGAGAGAGGTGAGTCCTGGCTGGAGTGGGGATGGGAGTTCAGGAGGAGGATCCCAGGTCTCTGGGTAGCTCTGCCATATGGTGCTGGTTTAGGAGAGAGAGCTATTAAAATTCACATGTCTTTCAGAAAGCTCTGGTGGGAAATCTGGAGAAAACACACCAGACCAAGCTTGCTGAATCTGAAGAGAAGTTTAAATACACCATACAGCTCCTGCGAGAAGAGAACATGTGTCTGAGGTGTGAATGAGACACAAAAACATGGCTGACTTCTCCTTAGAAAGCGGGGGGATGGGTGAGGAACAGGTGAGGACAAACCCGGGCACTCCCTGATGAGGTCAAGGCTAGGCACTTTCAGGAGGAAGGTATGCACTGTGAGCTTGGCCACAGAATTTACCTGATGTAGTCAAACGGTTCATTTGAAATGGTGCCAGAAATATGTCTGTACTCCTCTCCCTTACCTATGTCTTCGTTTTTATGCAAAATGACAAATGAGCCCGGCCCGGTGTGGCTCAGCGGTTGATCGTCAACCTAGGATCCAGGTGATTGAGGTTCGATTCCCGGTCAGGGCACATGCCCGGGTTGCGGGCTCGATCAATGACTCTCTCATCATTGATGGTTATATCTCTCTCTCTCCCTCTCCTTTCCACTCTCTGAGATCAATAAAGATATATTAAAAAAAAAAAGATTAAAAAAAAAAAAAATGACAAATAAGATTATCTGAGAATCTCTAAGTGTATTCAGTTTTGTGGCTAAAGATTATTTTTAAATCCGTCTCCCCCGAGACTTGAGGGCTTTAGGTGTTAGCGGTTTGCCCTTAGATGCAGCTGCACATGGTTCCTGTGGAAATCAACTTCAGGTCAGAAATTATACTATGACCTGAAGATGCATCTTAAATCACTGAAATAAATTTTGGTCAGTACTTTTATAAAGGGAAGTTATTCATTGTGTTGAGTTAGTAGAAAACTCCTCATATGGGCATTTGGTCACCCAACTCTCATATCTCACTAAATTCAAAGCCACTGCAAGTAATGCATGAGACTGCCCCCAGTGAAAGAATGAAACCACATTTCTCTCTCCCTGGATGTCCTACACCACTTTCTACTCTTTGAGTTTATAGCGATACATCTTCTCTTTCTTTATAGGCAAAAGATAATTGCTAAGAACGAAGAAATTTATGAAGAACGACCTGGAAGATCAACCTGTGTTACTATTTATGAGGATGTTTCTGAGATTTTAGAAGACGGTAGCAACAAAAGACAAGAACTGTGGGCAGAAAAGTAGCTATCATCGAAGGTGGTAGGAACATCATCTCTGTAAGCCGAGAGAACCCCTGTAAGGTTTTCTTGAGAAATGCGTATGATGAGTTTGGGTTTGGGGTTGCCTTGATTCTCCTTTTGTCTTTTCACAATTTGCTTTCTTCTGAGTGGTTAGGAATGTTTGAATTCTCATCTTAATCACATAGATTTTTCATGACTCTTCATTGAAAAGTGATATTCTCCGTACCTAGAGCTGAGCTTTCTCTGGGTGTACTGTTTTCTCTTCCACCTTTACATAATTCATTATGAAGACACTGGTCTGAAAATGGTCTTCCTATTAAATGTTGACTATATTTTGGATTGTACCTTTTGTCCCCCTGGGGCATTTAGCTAGGAAGAAAGAATCAATTGGTTTGATTTCAAAAACCTTTCTTTTTCACAGGTGTCCCCACTCTCCCACCTCTCAATCATGTTCCTTAACGTGTGATTTAGGAAGAGTTTCTGATGATTCTTGCCACCTTCTCTAAACCATTGCTAGAATTCAGATGCCCACAGGGCAGGCAACATATCTAAGTGAAGTGGGCTGCACATAAGGAGAAACAATCCCACAAACACAGTGATAATTGGTAACTGGCAGCAGCTTCAATGGAGAGGATTTGCGGCGGGGTGGGGAGCGGGGCTGGTACTATGAGAGAACCCATTCCATTGCTGCCATACAGGAGCATAAGGTCAATGTGATAAAATATTCTGATTTTTCAAAAGAAGGTATTCTGTTTTTACATCACATCTCCCAATTTTTAAATATGAACAAGTTTTTAAAAAATACAACTGTGTGAACCAACATTGGGAGGCTCAAGTAAAGTCTATCTGTGATCCAAACATTTTCCACCTGTGAGATGCCATTGCTAAAAAACAAAACAAGCAAAACAACCTCCTGGGAACAGTAAGATTAAATTATATTTTATTTAAAATGCTAGTGAAAAACTATTTTTTAAGAAAATCTTAGCGTTTTAAAAAACGTTTTAAAAAATTCTAATTAGCTTTTAAAAGCATAAATGAAGCACAGCAATGCTAGCAAAAAATCAAATCAAACATGGCAGAAGCATACATATGCTACAAGAGCAGGAAGAGAGAAGGCTGAAAGGGGAGATTGGAAGCAGATTTGTAAAAACATTTTGGATTTATAAAAACTTTTCATGTAAGAAATAATATTTTCCAATTTGTATTTTAAAGAAACTTGCAGTAGGGTTCAGGGCATATTAATTATTTTGAATGAAAGTTACTTGAGAAATAGCCAGTGCAAGATGGACACTCTGACCCTGTTTTATTCCCCTGAAAGTTGTAAATAAATGTCCCATGTAAAAAGTACCCTCCCTGTAAGAAGAGGGTAGAAGACATCCATATTTTAGATATAGGGAATTCAGGGCCAAGAAGGCTGTATAAACAAAACTCGTGACTTCTTTACGAATTTACCACCCCAAGTCCAAACTTCTTTGTCTTACACATTCTTCACAAACTTCTTGTTATTTTGTCTAAAAGATATAAAATGTGCTTGGTTATTTCTTTGAGTCTCATATTTCTATGAGCTCCTATATTTATGAAAGTTAATTTTATTTTTCTACTGTCAATTTCTCATGTCAATTTAATTAATAGAAACCCAAAGAACTGGAAAAATGTTATTCCATATTATACAGTAGTACAATTGTATAGTAGTGTAGATGGCTTGGAAAGAGAGGGACTGAAAGTACATAACAAAACAATTCTTAACAATTTGAAGGGAATTAAATGAAATGATAATGGGTTGAAAGCAGATCAGATCTGCCACTGTTTTTGAACCATTGTGATGTTACGTTTCTTTTAAGCTTACTATACTTTTTGTACCTACTATAGCTTTTAAAACCCTCTTTATCAAATTAAAAATACAATTAAAATCATGCCTATGGCTATAAATATCTCTCTATTGTTGCAAAGTCAGAAATTTAGGCTTGAATTTGCATAAAACTTAAATTGTCTTCACTCTCATTTTCTCCCCTTCCTGCCATCGAAAAGGGTTGGGGGGGGGTAGCAGCATCTATTAATAAATTAAGCATAGTGTTATGCAAGTAAACAATAGCATAAAGTGCAAGCATCATAATAAAAAATTAAGCATAGTGTTGTTGTACATCAATGAAGAGGGAAGAAGAGTTTTTTTCTCAGAGTGAAGGTAGGTTGTGGCATCTGCTTCCCCATGTTTTTCTTGTCATCCTTATTGCTCACTTCAAAGTTCACCTCAGTGAGGATAGTGAGAATATCATCACCCCTGAAAAACATAACATAGCATTGTGACCATCTGTGAGGGAAAAACCAACTGGTAAACCCGTTCATCTGCTGTGCTTATGATAGCTATTTCTCTCAAAACATCAGGCATTTGAAATAATAAGTTGCTAAACCAAGACGTACTACAGCTTTTGAGGTAAAGGAATTGTCTCAGAGCTTAATAACTTATCTTTTGTTTACTCAGGATCTATATAGACCATCAGAAATCTCAGTGTTAACATCAAATTTGGTTTCCTTCCCTCCCAATCTGTTTGTACCTCACTCTACTCCATGTACTATGTTACTTGCCCACATAATCACCTCAATGACCCCTAACATCCTCTGCCTCAAATTGTCATTGCTTCTGTGGATTCATCTATGATGCAATGGAACTTCAGGCGAGTGAAAAGTCAGTGTCTACTGCAGTCCCCTCACCCCTTTCTCACCAGCCTTGCTAATCAGTTTAATTGGGCAACCTGTTTATCCACCTCTGCAAATGGCCCCCAGAACCTTGCAGAATTTGTGGTTTCAATCTAAAAATGAAAACGTAGTGTTGATGTTATGGTTCACTCCTTTATTTGCCATGGAAAATTCTCACTCTTCATATTCTTAACACATAATAATACTGAACTAGAAGGAACCTGCAGAAGATTCTTTGCTACCCATCTATCAGTTGTGTGTGCATTTGGGTGAACTGTGACATACAAAACCATCATTTAACTAAAAGAAACACAGTTTCTAAATATTTAAATGAGGAAAGGATATTTCCCTATACTTTGTGGCTTCAAATCAGGCCAAATGAGTGAAACTATAAAGGGTTTCTATTCTTTGGTATTTATCTCTCACAATACACCAAGAGGGTTTGAGGCTGGTTGGCTATTATGGAACTTTTGACATTGGAGGATATGAAACATTGAAATGGGTTATTGCCTTTTTGGAAGACTTCTTAGAAGTTTCTAGTTGAGTTGGCACAGTCATGTTTCTGTCTGAAACCAGAGCTGGACTATATGACTTCACCATCCTTCCTAGCAATATGATACCCTGATTGTCCTTTGATACCCTGATTGTCNTATGACTTCACCATCCTTCCTAGCAATATGATACCCTGATTGTCCTTTGAGGTGCTAAAAGAAGGAAACGCCTCAGTAAGTATCTCAGTTTTTTCTGTCTATGACTAAAGATGTTAAGACTTGTCCTCTCTCCCACTTTGCAACTGACATGGGAACTGCAGCTATGCAACCCTCAGCTGGACATTTACAGATGAATAAAAGGTTGAGTAGGCAAAAATTACCTAGGGCATCTTTCTCTCAGGCTCTGGCACAGTGATTGGATATACCAGCTCCCCTCCATGGGGTTTCGGTAGGAAACATAGTTTTTCACTGTGGCCATCCCCAGCAGAAAGTCAGCTTCATCTGGGATATATCTCTTCCGACATAATGAGTCCATATCCAAGCAGGCTTCCTTCTCTCTTGAGTCAGCCTCAACAGCTATACGTCCCTGGTAGTTATTCCCTTGACAAGCCTGGATAAAAAAGATTTTGGGTTTGCCTGCAAGGGAAGGGCACTTCGCACCAGTGAAGTAAGAGGTAAGCTCATAGATGGAGGCTTCTTGCCCATCAGAGCCGTAGATGATGCCTTCATCTCCATGGGAAAGGATGCAACAGATGAAGCAGTCTCTCTTCTTGTGGTCCATCCTTTGGTAGTTTTTCAGAACCTCACAGATTTCCTTTGCTGTAGAGTCTTTGTAATGCACCGTCTCAAAATGAAGCTGACTAAAGGTGCTGAGCAAAGCCTCTGAAAAGTGAAATACAAAGTCATATTATACCACCATAATACCCAAACCACAGCCCAGAGCTAAAGAGAGCATTGATCAGGTAAGAATTTGAAGCAGAGCTTAAGAACAAGACCCTCTATATTAGTGGCTAGATTCTGCAGGCCTCTAATATTGACTGCCACCAGCTGAAAAAATTTCCCAGTCTTGAGGCAAACAAAAAAAAGGAGGGGATTATTGTTGGCCTGTCGTCTTATCTCAACTAGTCTACGAGATGAGGAAGCCATTATTTAGGACCCAGCGGTGCGGTCTCCTTGCTCTCCCAAGCTCGGCACTCTAGGCATGCCCCTTGTGCGGCTCATGGGGCCCGCCTGCTGCCGCGGAGCCCTGACTGCTGTGGGCCCGTTCGCGGGTGGGCTGACCCTGAGCTCAGCCCTGACCACGGTGTACAAGCTGACAAAGCAAAAAATGCAGGTTCTGACAAAACAAAAAAACCAAACAACAACAACAAAAATAAGAAAAATGGGGGGAAAGAATAAAAAAAGGAAAAGAATAAGAAAAGGAAAAATACAGAAGAATAAAAAAAAGTGGAGTTCGCCTCAGCAGCTTCGAGCCTGCTGTGCTCCCCCTTTGGTGCTGTGAGTGGAGACTGCTGGCTCCTGCTCCCGCACTGTCTGGAGCTGGCCGCCTGCTGTGTGGTGGTTCTGGGCCTCTCGGGAGAGGTTCTGTTGTAAGCCACTGTCGCACACTGTCTATTCCTGGCCTGCGGCAACCTGTTTAAAGCTGCAAGCGATCCAGTTTATGGCTGCCTCTGCTGGGCTGGGCTGCTCATGGGAAGGACCAAGCTGTGCTAAGGCCAGCTTTTACCAGGACAGGGCCCAGGGACTGGCCCTCAGGGCACCCCAGGATCCGCCCCATTCTACCCCACCTGCTGGCTGGCTATTAGGTTTAGTCACTGAAAAGGCTCAGTCACCGAAGGAGCCTCTGGCAGAACCGGGAGGATCTGTGAGGGGTGGTGCCATTCAGACTTCAGGGAAGATGGTGGGTGTGATCCCCATTCCAGGGCCACATGTCTGAGTCTGTCCCACATTTTCCCCTGACCCTGGGCATTAGATCTCAAGACTTACTCAACCTATACAACTGCAAGTTTGTACCCTTTGGCAAAATGCCAGAAATACAAACAAATATTATTTTAATAAAAATGTCTTAATAGTAAATGAATGGAAATCAAAGGCCTGAAACCTTTTCCTCAGAACCAAGATGTATGATTATGAATGATGTAGTCAATGGACTTAAGCTCTTCGGCTTTTTAAAATCATAGATTTGTTTAAATAAATGTTAACAGAGACCTTTAGCAGAGTCCTGATGATTAAAATCAGCCTACCTTACTTTTCTAAACTTTAGTCAATTTAAAAAATAAGTCATTACTGCCCTGGCTGGTGTGGCTCAGTGAGTAGAGCATTGGCCCATGCACCAAAGGGCCATGGGTTCGATTCATGGTCAAGGGCACGTACCTGGCTTGCAGGTTTGATCCCTGGCCCCCATTGGAGTGCATGCAGGAGGCAACCAATTGATGTGTTTCTTTCACATCTATCTCTCTCTCTCCCTCCCTCCCTCCACACACTCTAAAAAAAAAATCAATGGAAAAAATACCCTCAAGTAAGGATTAACAAAAAAACAAACAGAAGAAATTAATGTCATTACTTGATGCTATGACCCATAAGAACTATTTTTTAAAAGTATTTTATCAAATAAAAATTATTAATATTACAATGATTGGGTCAGATTATTTCCATTATTACTTTTAGTTGAAGCCATTTCTATGTTCACATGCTGCAAATTATTTTTTCATTTAACTTCTAAGTTCTCAATCTTAGATGAGACAGGCTGAGCAAAAGAATTTCTGCCTAGTTTAACATTTGAAAATACTATTTCTGTTGAGGACTCACAATTTCTGCTGCACTCTGTTATAAATGCAACTTCTGTAAGTGGTCTTGATACTAAGGCAATGTTTTCACACATTATAATAATATATTCCACAGAAGCACTATCCATTTAATCGAATTAAAAGCAAAGCTTATTGCTGCTTTTCAGTAGAAGCCTTTTAGTAAAATTTAATATTTTATCTTTAGCTATACATTGCTTTAATTTTTTAAATTAAGTTTAAAAAAGAAAAACAGAAAGCTAGCAAATATATAAGAATGTCCTTCACCTCCACAGGAAAACGTGCTTATAATCATTTTTTTGAAACATGCAGCCAGCCCTGTTGGTATCGCTTTTGTTCCCCCATTTGATAAAAACATAAATATTAGAAATATTTTACTTTTCTTTTGGGTTCTACTGTACCTGCATCCAAGTCTGTTCCGTTCCTGTCCTTCATTGTTTGAAGTTTGGGAATGTTCTCCCGTGCTTTGCTGAAATCGTAATTGTTAAAGATCACACAGTATCCCCGAGGCTTGCTTTTCATTCGATAAACTTTGTCCAATGTCTGAAAAACAAAAATGCAACCCAGGAGCTGACACTGTGGGTCAAACACCTGAGATGTGAACAAACAACTCCCTGGTGCAAGGTTACGCTGTCTCCTAAGCCACACTGGCCTGTAAGTGCTCCTTCCATGGCTCTGACCCAAAGTGACATTGTTTCCCTAACAAACTAGCTCATTTCTACCTAGTCTCCTCACACAGGATCCCCAGACTTCTGCCCCACCTTTAGTGTGTAAAGCCAATGTCCCAATACTTGGGCCTCCTGAGCACTTTGCACGTATATTAATATTGTCATCATAATGTATTGTCTGTTTTCATTTCTGCTCAAGGCAGATGACATCTGTGTCAGGAACTGGGATTTATTAATTTGTGAGAGTCCAATCAAGAGTTGCTCAATGAATGAATGTCTTAGGGCTGGCTGTCTTTGGGCTGCCCTTCCGTGACCTTGTGATTTCCTTGGCTATCTACTCAACTCATCCATGTTTCTAGGCTAACAGCTGAGGGCCTGCCCTTCACACATCACAAAGTGTCCCAGGACGTTTAAAGCTAATGGGTTAACCTGGTTCTCAGGACCACAGTGACTGGAGGAGAGAGGTGCGCTGGTCAGGCAGATCGTAGCTCTTGCGGGTTACAGTATCCAGACTCTAGTACCTGACAGACATTATCAGTCAGAGGCGCCCTAGTCTGTCCTGATTTTCCCAGGGCTGTCTCAGTGCTGAGATATTCAGCATTTATTGGGAAATCCATGCTGCTCCTCCAAGTAAAGGGCTCCTTGTTACAGGGGCAAAATTCTCGGCTCTGTACTTAATAACTAAAACTTTGAGCAAGTTACCTACTCTGCCTTGCACCCAGTGTCCTTAGCTGTTCATTGGGAGCAGCACTTGTAGAGTGCCTTACTCTGCCAAGTGCTACATGACTTTGGTTAATCCTTGATCTTCAGACTGAGAGAGGTCTGGTCAGTTGCTTAGGAGCCCACTAGTAAATTGTTTCTCTCAAGCTTAATTTCAAGTCTCCCGCTGGACTCCTAGTGTTCAGGGCTTCCTCTGCTTCCTGCCACAGAGAGGAGTGAGTGAATGGGCTGAGTCAGAATGTGTTGGGTGACTTGGTGAAGGTTACGTAAAGAGGAGCGATTATGTGTAGAAAGGCGATTCCTGTATGGGCTCTCGGAGGTGAGAACACAGAGATGGCTAGATCATGAGTGTTTGCCACTTACACTGAGAAACAGTTGTGAAATGTGAGGCTAAAAGAAAAGGCTTTGCTTTTTCCAGTCCTGCTGGACTCTTCCCCCAGAGCCCTTTCCCATTCGGGCTGCTGCAGCCGCTGGAGGGTTTGGTAGGAGACCTCTCACCCCTCTGCTCCAACTGTTTCAATATCTTTGTCTTTAGTTTTAAAATAAAAATTTAACATATAAGAAAACCCAAGATCACATTTTTTAAAATTAAAAAGTCACACTTTAAGCTTGTTCTTTTGTGAATTTTTTTCTACAGTTCTCAAAATATTCACCAAGTTTCTTCCCCTTACTAGTTTATGTGGAAGCTACAAAAGCTGAGAGATACAATAACTAGAATCTCAATGTAAAGAAGTAATGGGAGGGTTCCTCGTACCTGCTGTGGGTGACTGTCCTGTTCCCCTGGCTCACTGTCCTGTTCTTGTGGCTTGAAGTCCTGTTCTCGTTGATCCAAGTCCTGTTCTCTTGGATAGTCTGACATTGACAGCATCTCAGGTGGCCCTCCCTCTGCAGGTAACTGAGACATATCTGGAACGACACATGGCAGAGAAGGTAGTTTAGTAAAGAAACATGTAGCACCTAGAGCAACGTAAAGTCCCTTTTAAAAGGAAAATTCACCAACTGCCTTGGACTTAGTATCCTTACAATCCAGAGTCACATTCGTACTGCTGACTAACTCTGCACCTATTTCAGACTTGCTGGCCTGAGGCCACATGGTCTGTGTCTTTTTACACATCTGTTAGTGTGTAGAGAAGGTGACAATAGGTAGCCACTGAGCCTTCATACTGATATTAGGCGGCAGGTTCATTAAGATGTGGATATGGATGGTAAAAGGTTGCAGAGACGAAGCAATGAAAATATCAAAGAATAAATTAGCTAAATAAGTCTTGAAAACATCTCCAGGTATTACCACTTGAAAATTCATCTGGACTTCTTTCAAGATGTTAAGATCAAACAAACAAACAAACAAACCTCCCTGAGCAGACAAAACCAATTCAATCATACAAACAAAGTTTATTTTGCAAGACTAACTTGACCTTGTTTATGCCTCTGAAAATCATGAACAAAACTTGAACTTTTTTCCAAGGCTGATATGAGATAACCACTGATCAATCCTGTCATTTAAGCAAATTCTAACATCATAATCATCACTGTGAAGAATGAACCCCGTCCCTGCTTTCTCACTATGTAAGCTGCTTTATAACAACATACTCCTGAGCCTCATTCCATGCTTTGTTTTGAATGCTCCTGGTTTGCAAACTGTCATTTCTGGCGTGTGCACAATAAATTTTTATTAATTACTATAATGATTCATTTGTGGGGTGGTTTTTTGTGTTTGTTTTTTTTAATACTTTTTTTATTGATTTTTAGAGAGAGAGGAAGGGAGAGGGAGACTGAAAGAGAAACATTGATGTGAAAGCAGAACATTGATCAGCTGCCTCCTGCATATCCCCTGCCAGGGATTAAGCTGGCAGTCCGGGCATGTGCCCCGACCAGGAACTGACCCCGCAACCTTTTGATGCGTGGGACGGTGGCCAACCAACTGAGCCGCATTGGCCAGGGCTGATTCATTGGTTTTACTTTCGCTATTTATGAACCTTTGACAAAGGCTCATTCTTCCCTCTGACATAGGGGTTTGTCAACTTAATAATACATTTTGCTGCCCTGGCGGGGTAGCTCAGCCGATTGGAGCATCAGCATCGTCCTGATCTGCCTGAGTTGCGGGTTTGATCCCCAGTCAGGGCACATACAGGAATCAACCAGTAGGAATGAACCAGTGGATACATGGATAAGTTTAACAACAAATCAATGTTTCTCTCTCTCCCAAATCAATAAATAAAAAAACTTTTTAGAAAAGAATACATTTTTCTGATTCCCAGCTATCAGGTTGTTTCTACCTCTGCTTAATTCTTCTTCATAATCGCTGATTTTCTTCAGCAGGCTCTTGTTGACTTTGTTACAGATTCTCGTTAGGGTGTCCAACTTTTTTTCCCCAAGGATGAGCCTCTTCTCCATCTCTATGAAAATATCAAGCAAGCTCTACAGGGAGGAGAAATAAAGTTAGAAGATGGAATTGGGCCATATTAGCTTTTAGATTAGATTTTTTTCTTCTTACTTTCACTTTCTCCAAACCAAGGGTCCAACCTAGCTTCCCAAGCAGACCCTGCTGAGAGGACATACTGGTTTTTCAAAGCCATTATACTACTAGGAAGGTAATTCTATGTTTTCTGGCCCAGAAATACAGAAGTGAGAAGACAAAGGAGAAGCCACATCAGTCCCCAGGACACACACACACAAATACCAAACACACACATAAACACGCACACACCCCATCACACACATAAAATAGCACCAGACATACACACAAAACTAGCACACCACACATAAACAGACATGCACACTCCCAGACACACACCACACACAAGCATGCGCGCACACACACACGNTTCTATGTTTTCTGGCCCAGAAATACAGAAGTGAGAAGACAAAGGAGAAGCCACATCAGTCCCCAGGACACACACACACAAATACCAAACACACACATAAACACGCACACACCCCATCACACACATAAAATAGCACCAGACATACACACAAAACTAGCACACCACACATAAACAGACATGCACACTCCCAGACACACACCACACACAGGCATGCACGCACACACACACACACACACAATTCCAGGTCCCAGGTTGTTTTAGAAGCAAAGAAAATGTCTCAGGCCCACCATAACACACGCACACAGACACACAAAACCACACTAGACACAGACACCTGTCTTTCCTGGCTCTGCAGGGTCCCACATTGGGCTGGGTCCCACATTGAGCTGGGCCCCCACAACCAACCTTCTTCTTTTCTCCTGACACTGTCTTGCTCCTGATAATTAATTTGAGCAGCACTTCACAGTATACAAAGGAATGATATCTACAAGACTCATGCCTGACAGCTTTCTTCTTCAACCCAGGCTAAAAAATTAGAATTCAGGTTGCTTTTACCAGAATAGCCCTCTCTTCAGTTTCAGAAATTCCCACTGGCTGACTCTTCCTCAGGACTAAATCTTGGCCATGACACCAGGTCTTACCATGCTATCATCCAGTTTACATCTGGATATCTCCTGGCTCAAAAAAAATTTAAAGTCCTTCACTTCCGATTCAATTACTTCTTCTGAAATCTGGAGAAGCATGGCCCTGTGGTGGGAAATGGAGACACTTGAGAAATGCTTTCTTAAATAGTTTCCCATCTGAAACATATGAGAGACAGCAGACTTGATTCCAATGGGCTCCCTTCAAAATAAAGTCAGCTCATAACATGATGTACGAGTTAAGTCCTTGGAAAGAGGCTGGTGTGGTGACACAGAAGACTACTGACTCATACCCAACCACCCCACCTTTAAGAGAATTTGAAGTTCTACTAACATTGTCCTTCAGTTAATTTCAGTTACATGAATTGTGGTTTTCCTTTGTCTTCACTATCAAATCAAGACCTTCTTGCAATAAGAAAGTTTTTTGATTTTGGAAATTATACTTTTCAAAATGCAAATCAGATCATCACTTCCTAATTAAAACTTGTCAGTGTTCTCCCAGCTGTTACCTTCAGTAGGAAGGCCAAACTTTTGGTCCTGGAATACAGACCTTTGTGAGTTGAACCCAGCCTACCTCCTCATCTTGGCCGCTCCTCACCAACCTCCCACCATCTCTTCTCCAAACACACCCAGCTCCCCTGCCCCTCAGCCCTTTATGCTGTTCCCCACCCCCCCCATACACACACTCCTATTCCCTTGTCTATTTTCAAACAGCCGCTCATCCACTAACAGCTCAAGCACTGCCTAAGTGACCTCAAGCACTGCATTCCCCCACTGTGCCTTTGTATCGCCCAAAGGGTAACATATAATGGTCTGTTTATAAAGCTGTTCAAGTCCCCTGAGAGCAGGGTCCATGCCCTTTTGTTTCCATAAGCTCAGAGGGCTGTGAGGTACAGTGTTTAAATGCAGGGCACCCAGACTAATTCTACCACTTATGAGCTGTGTGACTTCAGACATGTTACACATATTTGTCTTCATTGTAGACTGCAGATGATTCTGTATCTATACCATTGGAACGTGTTGGAAATTACATGAATAAGTTTATCTGCAGTGCTTAAACCAGTCTTTGGCAACACACTAAGTGCTCAATACACAGCATTATTATTTGCTAACCTATGGTAGGCTTTTGGGACATGCTTGTTCAATGAACAGAAGAATGTTTTATAAGTCAGCAAACCTTTCATTATTATGTTGTAAAGGAAATAACTTTAATACAAAACCACGTTAGCATCACCCTAGCCAGTCTGGCTCAATGGTTACAGTGTGGGCCCACAGACTGAAGCGTCCTGGGTTCAATTCCGGCCAAGGGCACGTACCTCATTCGTAGGCTCGATCCCCCGCCCCTGTCGGGGTTCATGCAGGAGGCGACCAATCGACGTGTCTCTCTCACATCGATGTTTCTCTCTCTCTCTCCCTTCCACTCTCTCTGAAAAGCAATGCAAAAAATATCCCCGGGTGAGGGTTAAAAAGCAAACAAACAAAACCATGTTAACTTCAAAGTTAAATTAGAGAATTAAAAGTCTGAAAATAAAAATAGTGTAGAAACAGGAGTTTCTTCACATTATCATCTGCTTCCTCCCTCTCCTGGAATCTCTACCCGAGAAGTATTTTGCTAAAGTTTTCTCACTTTGGCCAAGACTGGGTCCAATGTAAAGCTAGTGCTCCTTTTAACTTTATTACAAGGTATTTTGCACTTCTACTTTCCTCATCACTGAAATCTACTGGTTTTCTTGTACCATCACTGTCTACAAATAAACCTGGATAGTTTATAAGATACTTATTTTACAGGTAGCAATTATAATTTGAAATTTGAAGTGTCTAGTGTTTTCTTATAAATGGAAAGCGACCACACTGGGTTATTTTTTATTTACTAGTTAATGATAAACAGTTACGAATAAGCAATAGATTGTACTTGTGCTGGCTCTTTTTCCCCCCAAACTAACATGTGAAATATTTTAACAAACAATCCTGCCCTTGTCAGGGACCCCCTGGCCCTCCCACAGAAAGGTACAGGTCATTGTCTGGCATTGGCAGTTTGCCTCAGTCTAACTCAACCTCCAGAAGACCAAGGTGGTAGGCGCAAGATGACACGCCTTCCAGGCTTCCTAGTTCTGGGGATGCTGTTTCTGAGGATTAATTGGTGCCTAGTTTAAGAATTCCTTAAAAGAACTTCACAATCCTACTAAATCAAAGTTACCCAGTATTGAATTGTCCTCTCCTCCCCTCTCCTTCCCAGTTCATGCTCAGCCAGAATACATCAATGTGACCTTATTTAGAAAAAGGGCCTCTGCTGTTAAAATGAGATCATACTAGATTTGAGTGGATCCTACTCCAACGACCGGGTCCTTATAGGAAGAGGGAAATTCAGACAAACACAAAGGGAAGAATGGAAACTGATGAAGCTACAGGACGAGAACCACCAAGGGTTGCCTGTTACCATCAGAAACCAGGAGAGGAGCATGAAATAAATTCTCCATAGAATCTCTAAAAAGGAACCAATCCTGTTGACACCTTGATTTCAGAATTTTAGCCTCCAGAACTATGAGAGAATAAATTCCTCTGCTGTGTTATGCCATCCAGTTTATGGTGTTTTGTTATAACAACCCTAAGACACACATACACCCAGAGTATCTCTTTTGTCATTTAAAATCAAAATGGTCAAGCTTCAAGTAGAGAAATGGATGACAAGGAACATGACAGAATCTCAGGTCTCTGCAAATAGAAAGACCAGGGCATTAGCAGACCAGTCAAGCAGGGGACAGTAGCTTTCAGCCCTGGCTGTGAGGACTGAGTGCTGCACATGCCACAGTTACAAGCAAGCAGAGACAGTGGAATGGGCCATGGCCAATGTTTGGGTGGAAGTTTCCTGAAAGGAAAGCTAAAAATAAGTATCTGAGAACAGGGGATGGTAATGTGCTCTATTTTTAAAGTCTGAAAAATCACAGAGATGTGACTTATCACCGCTAGGCCACCCACTTCCCCACAGGCGAGGAAAGGCTGAGCGGCAGGGCCTTTGGTAGGACTGACGCCCGTCACCCTTGTTCTCGCAGCAGCAGCTGGCCTCACAGGGGCTAAGCAGCCCTGTGGGGTCTGGCCTAACAAATCCCCATTGCCTGGCAGCATATACCTCATTGGAGGATTTTGTAATGCACGTGTGGATAAAAGCATGAAACTCCATTGAGAATTTCCAAAGTTGCCCACAAACGGGAGGAGGATTTCAGGGTGAAAGTAGTGATACTTTACCCAAAATAGACAAAGTAAGCTCACGATGTGGACATCAGCAAAGCAGAAACACCAAGATAATAGACACATAACACACACACAGAGAGAACATTTAGAAAAAGTCGATTTTACTGTCAGCATACTTATAGATAATGTTTCACTTTGAAAATTTTATTTTATGGTTTTAGCTCTTTCTTTTTCCCCCCTGAATTATACATCAGGTCTCTAAATTTCTTAATCTAGCCCTGATAGGACATCTTCCCAGAGCCTCCAAAGTCATACTACATCAACAACCTGCAATCAACCCTCCCACAAAGATGTGTCCACTCCCCGCATACCTCCCAGCACTCACACTACAGAGACTCCCACCTGTATGTAGAGATCTGACCCCTGCCTGATGTCTGAAGCTCCCTTTTCATCTCTTCCTTGCTGGTGTTCAGGTACTTTTCCAGTAGATCCAGTCTATTAATAAGGAATAGCAGCTCTTTCAAGAAGGACAAGTTGCATTCTTCCAACATTCTTTTTTCCTGGAGTCTCTGGAACAACATTAAGGCATCCTTGATGGATTCCTGCTTCTTTTGTGGTATGTAGTCCAGGCACAGAAACTTGAGCGAGGCCACCTCCTCACTGCTCAGAGCTTCCCCAATTTCATATAAACAATTGCTGAAACTCATGCTTGTCAGTGTTAGTTGAAAACAGTTGTAGCCTAGGTCAAAAAAAAAACATCATGTTCAGATGAGAAAGAAAAGTACCATTAACCGGTTTGTTCCCTCATCAAATGCTATTACATCCACTACAATACATGTCAGACATTCTGCTGTGGCTACAGGGAAGAAAAGCCAATGGGACAAGCTCCTTCTCTCAGGTTGCTTGGTGTTTGGGAAGGTCGATACACAAACTAGCCAATGCTCAGAGAGTTGTGAGCAGGATGCAGTAGGAATAGTAAATGTGAAAATCCAGTTGGAAGCAGTGGTTTTCAAACTCTGCAAAGCTGACGAACTCTTTGTTGAAGTCTTGCTCAGGCTCTCCCTTACCTTAAGAGGTGGTCCTGCAGAGGAACTGTTTGAGAACCTTGAACTAGGAAACCTTGAGCTTCCCATCTGGCTCCATCATCTCCTAGATCCCACAGACTCTGTGCCTTTGGCATTTTCCTTAACCTCAGATATCCTTAACCTGTTTGGACCTCTTTTCCTTCCTAAAACAAAGCAGATGGGTCCCCAGACCTTTAAGCTCTCTGCATTTACTAACATTCTTGGGTGAAAGCATAAACTCCGACTATTACTCAGACGTATTAATCGGAGGTACTGAGCCAGGACCCATATATTTTGTACATATGATGTTAAAATAGAAATATTTTTGATTTGCACACTAAGGTAAGCTTTAATGTGGTTTTTTTTTTAAGTGGCCAAAAAGACTTTGAAACTTTTACAAAACCACCTTCCTGTCTGCACTTCGATTATAAAAACAGTGAGGGTTTTTTTGGCGAAAATTTAAAATAAAATGAATTAGTACATGGTCTCGGTTATCATGATATACACCACACGCACAGAGATACATTTATATAAAAGTAAGAATTAGGCTGCATATCCAGGTGTGTACACCTGTTTTTCCCCCCATTTAATATTTAAAATAAACATTTACCCCTACCATTAAATATTCTTCTTTGGCATAATGTTTCTAGATTGTTCAGCATGTGGATATATCAAATTTTATTTTAAGGAATTTTCTATTTCTTTACTGTTAAAAATAATATTGCATTGAGAGGTTTTTTTTTTCCATATATCCTACGCATATCTCTGATTATTTCCTTCTTAGAATTAGAATTATAGGGTAAAACTTTTTCTCTCCCTGTTTTTTGTTGTTCTTGTTGTTGGTTTTTGTTGTTTTTTAAGTGAAAGCAAAAGTTTATTGAAGGAGAGACAAAAGCTCCCGCCATAGTGAGAGTCCAGAACAGGTAGCCCTCTCCCTTTTAATCTAAAGCTGACATCATTGTTTAGACCAGTTTTCTTTATTCAAGAAACTGAAGGGACAGTATCTTAAAAAGATGCACTTTGCATTGGACTCACAAGGGCTGCAGAGCCGAGATCTTTCACTGCCAAAGCAATCAATTATCCAATACCTTTATTTAGGAAAGATATCTTTTTTTAAAAATTTTTAAAAAATATATGTCTTTATTGATTTCAGAGAGAGGAAAGGAGAGGGAGAGAGAGAGAGAGAAACATCAACGTGCCCGGACCGGGAATCGAACCCCGATCGCCTGGATNATTGATTTCAGAGAGAGGAAAGGAGAGGGAGAGAGAGAGAGAGAAACATCAACGTGCCCGGACCGGGAATCGAACCCCGATCACCTGCATCCAGGTCGACCTCAACCGCCGAGCCCGCCCGGCCGGCCGGGAAAGATATCTTAAATAAGGCGCCGGCACCTAACAGCATGTATTCAAAGTGCAACAAACAGAAACTGCTGCACTTACACGGCGACAAACTAGCCAGCTCGTCCTTTAAATGGCACCTGCGTGCTCAGCAGCGCGCCGGGCAACCCGAGCCACCAGAAACACCCCCGCGCCCTCCAGCACGGCCACGCAGACGAAGCTGCGGTCACCCCACACAGCGCTACAGAGCTTAAGGAAATGCATTCCATCTTCCGAAATAAAAATGCATACAGAGTCACCGTATGTTGTTACGGCAGTGAAAACAAACAAGTTGCAACAGAACAAAAAAATCATACACCTACTTTTTAAAAATACTCAGAGCAATGCAATTAGATTTTCAGCGGTGACAGACATATATGTAAAAGCGAGGCCTGGAAAGAGACACACCAAACTCATCAAATTGTTCCTTCTGGGAAATGGAGGAGAAAACTATAGGTCGGGGGTGAAGGAGTGAGGGAAAGGGATTTACCTTTTCCTGAAATGCGTCAAGGAGAAAGCAGGCAGATCTGATCTCTGCAAATGAAGCTAAGGTGCAAATCCTAGCCCGGGGGTGTTCTTATTTTTAAGGGAGTGGCATGAAATGAAGCGTGGGGACCTTAGGACAGAGCACAGGGCAAGGAGAATGAATCAGAAAGGAGTGACACAATTGCATTTGTGTTCTTAAATGCAAACAAAAAACTTCAACTTTAAAAAGAACCTCAGAGACTAGGACTTTTACCACACCCATAAAAAGGAAACTGTCACATTTCTCAAAGATATTTAGTCAACTAAAAAATCTAGTAGACTGAATATAAGAAGACCACAGGAGATCTGCATTAAGATAATTGAAAAACTCTAACTAACAGGCATTTCCTCTCAGTAGAAAATACACATCCATTCAAACACATACAGAGTATTCACCAAAATTGTCCATAAGGAAAATTTTAATAGACTTCCAAAAAGCAGAAATAATATAGTATGTGTTCTCTGGCTATTAGAAGTTAACAGTGAAATTAGAAATTAACATGTTAATTAGAAGTTAACAATGAAAAATGGCCAAATCAAACACACTACAAAAAAAGGCTATCCACATTTAGGTGGCTTTTTAAACACATGGTGTTAGAACAAATGAGTACACTTCTGGAACAAACTGAAATGAACCCTAACTGAGCTCCTTACATCAAATTAAACTGCAGATGGATCAAAGATTTAATCCTTAAAATTAAAATACTCAGGAAAGAAACATAGGAGAATTTTTAAAAATAATCTTACAGTGGTGGAGAAACTTTCTAAGTATAACAGAAAACCTGAAAGCCATCAAAGAAAGATTGATAAATTTCTTTAAATAAAAAGTAAAATATTCTGAAAAAGAAAAACCCACAAAATTTCAAAAAAATAAATCTTACACTGGGAAAAATGGGCAATAATATGATATGTTATAGAAAAGGGGCTAATTTTTTAAAAATAGGGCTCCTATAAGTCCGTTTAAGAAAAAGAGAGAAAGACCAACCATCCAGTGCATAAACAGGTAAAGATTATAAGCAGACAGTTCAGAGAAAAGTAACAGTGGCTTTATTTTTTTATATATAACAACGGCTTTTTTACATTTGAAAAGATGTTCAACCTCATTCACAATAAATTTTTTAAAAGCAAATTGAAATTACAAAAGATCATTCATTTTCAACTACCAAATTGATGAAATTCAAAACTTGTAATACACAGTGTTGTGAGATGGTGGAAATAAAAACAGGTAGGTGGGTAATTTGACCATATCTGTAAAATATAAAATGTATATATCCTTTGACCTCACAATTTAAGCTCCAGGTGTTTTTTCCTACATTAGCTTAAACGTCAGTGCACTAAAACATATGTACAAGATTATTCATGGCAGCATTGCTTGAAATAACAAAGGAGAAGAAACAACTGTTTAATCAATACCAGAAGAGTTAAATAAGCTATTAACCATGTCTGATGGTACTCTACTCAACTATTAAAAATAATGGAAAGGGCAATATGGCTGGATATGTGTGTGTGATCTACACAATGTATTATTAAGTGGTGTGTAGCTTTGTGTCTTCACAGATCTTTGGACAAAACACACAGAAGGCTGTCTCAGAGGAGAGGAAATAGAGGTCTGGTGGTGAGTGTGGGCAAGGCCTAGGGGTGAACAGGAAAGTGAAACATTTCCCCCATTTAAAATGTTTACCATGTGCATTATAAATGTACATATATCTAAATTTAAATCTCTATTTAAAGACCCATTTTTATTCATGTACTGGAATGGGTCTAAACTAGATCCAACCCTGTTTGGTACCATTGGGTTCAGTGCCTTTAAAATTTTAAATCAGTTATAACCAGTGTTAAAATCTTATTTTTACAGACTAAAATCAACCAAAGAGTCTAATGCAAGCAGAATCTTCCTTTTTTCCCTCCACAATTATTTCTTTCTGATAACAATCCTTGTTGTATTCATTTTAGAAAATACAGAAAGGATGAAAGAAAAATGAAACTTACCCATAGTTCCATCACCCATAAATAAACACTAGTAATATTTTACTGTTTTTCCTACCAAATATTTTTTGTATATGTATTTTCCCTCATAACTGAACACACCATATCCCTGAGGTATAAGTGTATTTTTCCATTGATAATATTGTAAATACATCTTTATGTCTTCATTTTTTCTTCTACAGTAGGAATTTTATTTTATTTATTTATTTATTTATTTATTTATTTATTTATTTATTTTAAATCCTCACCCGAGGATATTTTTCCCATTGCTTTTCAGAGAAAATGGAAGAGAGGGGGAAGGAGAGGAAGAGAGAGAGAGGTGAAAGAGGCAGGCCAACTGGTGCCTCCCACACATGCCCAACCAAGGAGGGGATCAAGCTGGCAACCAAGGTTCGTGCCCTTGATCAGAATCGAACCCGAGGCCCTTCAGTCCGCGGGCCAATGCTCTAACCACTGAATAAAACCAACTAAGGCTACGGTATGAATTTTAAAATCTGTAAAGCATCTAATCAAATGAATGGTCGATAATTTATGCAACCAGTCTCTGACTACCTTTAGGATGATCTTAAAATGCAAATCTCCATGTACACCTTTGGTTATTTTCTTAGAATAACTGCCTAGAAGTATTAAGGCGTTAAAAGGAATAAACCTTTTTAGAGCTTTTGTTCAAGGGTGTTTTCTGTATTTTTCTGATCCTAAAATAGAAAATGTAACACTGGTTCCTTAGAGGTAGTGCAGAAAAATATAAAAAGAAAAAGAAACTCGCCCTTT